ACCGAATAACTATTTGCAACAGATTAAAGTATATAACTCTTAGAGTAAGACATGCACTAACTCATATGACACTAACCGAGTAACCCGAGTAACCCCTATAACACTAAACGGGTAACCTCTATAAATTTGACATAGTAAACCCCATAATATCTAGCTACATTGCGTGGCCACCGGCATAAAAGAGTAAGACCCTGTTTTTTGAGCTTCTAAGCAAAGCAGGGGATATCATATGCAGAGCAGGTGTCAGCACATTGTTAATACGATTATTAATACTCACTAGAGCAAAGCTAAACAGGGTTCAACAGAGTCGACCAGTCCAAAACCGACCATTGCAACCCAAGTATAAGTTATAACATCAAGATCAAATTTCCATATTTTAAATATATTTTTTCTTATATATCCCGTGCATTTTGCACGGGTACACTCTAGTCTAATATATAATTGCAGAGTCGTTTTCACTACAACCCTCCAAATCCCCAATCCTCAAATCTCATGCATTTGAGGTGTTTTTATTTATTTATCATTTTTTTAACTAACCAATAACTACCATTCTACTACTTTATTTATTTGTTTTCTTAAAAAAAATTGTATTTTTTCAAGGGATTACAATAACTAATAATAACAATTCATTTTTTTCTTAAACACTACTAACATTTCACTTTGTGTTATTTTCTTTCGTGTATAATATGTGTCGTGTATTAGCACGGCTACACGGATATACAGTTCCTTTATCAACAATTCACTATAAAACTCAAAATCTCCAACCCTTCAATTCAAAAAAACTTCCACTTCTCTAATCAACAAAACAAAAATATGTACAACACGTTTTTTGCGTGACTGGCCTCATTGAATAGTTGCTTGCAAAAGAATAAAGTAACCCCTCCTATAGCACTGATCGAATAACTCCTATGACACTAACCGAGTAACCCCTATAACACAAAATGAGTAACTCTACAGCTTTGACAAAGTAACCCCATAATAACTTGACACAATTTGCGTGGCCACCCACATATAAGAGTAAGGTTTTGTTCTTTTAAGTTTATGAGCAGAATAGAGCACATCAGATTGCAAATGAGTAGAGCAGGGCTCAACAAAGTATATAAGATTTTAGCAGAGTAGAGCAAAAACAGACCATAAATAGTTCAAAATAATAGGACCTAAGATACTAAATCTAAATCGACTTTCCGTATTTTAAATATATTTTTTCTTATATTATATAATTAAAATATTTATAATATAATATAAATCCGGTGCGTTTTGCAGGGTGCAGTAAAATTTATAAAGAAAAGGCAACAATTTTGGCGTGAATATCTTAATTACTCATCATTGATATGACATGGCGCAAAAAGACAAAATAAAAGTGGCCTGATAAATGGTGCCAGAATAGTGTTCCTGATCCTTACCACACCAGATAAGAACTCTCTAGATTCTTTTTAAGTCCATGTGTTTTATTTTTATTTATTTTTGGACTTTGATTCCATTAATTTCCCTACTTTTGGAATTTTATTTTTCAGAATTTCTTATCCATGCAAAACAACCAAGGGCCCCACCTTAAACACTTGTGGACACATGATTTTCAACAACCTTATTCTGGGTCCCATTACACGTGAAATACTCATCATTTAACTTTTTTTTTTTTTTTAGGTTAACCACATCTTTAGCCTAGGGGTGAGCATGGAACGGGTACCCGTACCGTTAGTATTAACGGTTCGGGTACCCAATACCAAAATCCCTAAAAGTGATATCCATATCCCGAACCGATAAATTCAGGTACCCGGACTTCGGGTACCCAGATTTTCGGATCGGTTATCGGGTACCCAATAATAATAATTAAACTTAATTATGTAGTTATTATAATATAATTTACCACTAATTAACAACGATATCATATAATTTTGACCAAATTATTAGTAATATTACAAATCTTTGATATTATAAAATAATTATATAGTAAAGTAAGAGTTTAGATTTTAAAAAAAAATAGATTTAAATAGGCAAAAAGGCAAAAAAATGCTTATCGGAACGGATCGAGTAACCGTTTATTTTAAAATGATACCCAATAATCATACCCGATAACAAATTATCGGAACGGGTACCCGAACCGTTATGATTATCGGATCGGGTACCCTAATTTTCGGAACGGTTACGGATCGGTTTTTCGGGTTTTCGATTTTTACTTTCGCTCAGCCCTACTTTAGCCTTTAATAACAAGTTTTTTTTTTTTTTTTTTTTTTTTTTTTTTTTTAAGTGAATCAAGTCTTGTGTTTTATTATAAAATAAAAATAAATAAAATAAAATAAAATAAAATAAATAATGAAGCAATTCTTGGTTGGAAAATTCAGGTCAGGTCACTAGGGTCGGTTGAGTTTGATTGGGTTGGGTTTATTTTGGATTTGATTGTTTGAGTCATCCTAAAATATTTTGTCCATACAAAATGAAATTTAGATCGTGTCACTTTCGGATTGGGTTAAATTTTGACGCAGTACCTCTACTCGGAGCCATCTTTCATTAATTACACATTAATATTCTTAAACTACGATAGTTTAAGTTAACTATTGCGTATTTGCGTTTATTAATACATAATTTAACTAAAGGTTTGAAAAGTTAATATATTAAAAAAAAAGGGAAATTTTGACAATTACCATCTACTATTGTTTCCATTTTAGCAATTACCACCTATTATTAATTTTTTTTTTGAAAATTACCACCAACTATTTTCTTAAACACCAAAAGCTACCACCTAGTTGGCTCTCAACCACCATATGATGTCATGTGGGCCCCACATAATACCTTCCCTCTCTTTTTTCCCTCCCATTTCTTATTTCTCATTCGATACTTCACTCCCAAGTTCAATTTTGTTCGTAAATGAAATCGAATAGGCAAACAATATTCAATCAATTATTTGGTTTGGAGAAGTGATTGAATTGCAGTGGTTTTGATTTCTTTCAGCGAAAAATTGAACTTGGAAGTGAAGTACCGAGTGAGAAATAAGAAATGGGAGGGAAAAAGGGAAGGAAGGTATTATGTGGGGTCCACATGATGTCATAAGGTGGTTGAGAGCCAAATAGGTGGGAACTTTTGGTGTTTAAGAAAAAAGTTGGTGGTAATTTTCAAACAAAATAATAGTAGGTGGTAATCGCTAAAATGAAAACAATAGTAGGTGACAATTGTCAAAAAAATTTTAAAAATAATTTAATAACATTCAAATTAGGTAAAGTTTTGGGTGAGGCAGATTCACGTAAGTTCACCATCTTTATTCTCCTTCTTACCCTTTCTCTCTCCTCTCGCCCATCAATGGTGCCCAGATCCTCCACCACTCTCCGCCTCCTGTCTCGCACCTCCCAACTTGCCAGGGATTAAGAATGATCAGATGCAACTTGCTTTGGCAATCAGTGCTTTGAATTCGGAGTTTCGAGATGATATGGAGAATGACCGGATTTGTGCTTCTACTCTGTTGAGTTTGGGGAGGTCGAATTCTATTGATGATGGTCAGAGATAACGAGGCTTTTGGTGAGGCGGCTTTGTCGCAGCATTTTTGGCTGAGTTTGATTAATTTGATTTTGTGAAATTCGATCGTGGAATTGTTAATTGATGATGAAATGTAAGAGTTTGTTAGAGATGATGTGAAATTTGAGGGTTGAGGATAGATAAAATATTATAGCCATGGAAGAAGAAGAGGGTCAGTGATGAACGAGAAAATAATGTCAGGTATGTATTATATGTTTATTGTTTGGTATTTGATTGTTATTGTTCGGTATTAAATGTTTATTGTCAGGTATTAGATTAGTATTGTCATGTATTAGATTAATATTAATTGGTGTAATATTTTTCAGGATTTAGAAAATTTTAGTCAGGAACAAGATTATTTTAGGGCCTATTCTCATTTACTGAACTGAACTGAACTTATTAGAGCTGAGCTGAGCTGAACTAAACTAAACTAAACTGAACTTATTAGAGCTGAACTGAAATGAATATTTTATAAGAGAAGAAAATTAGGTGCTGAACTGAATTGAATTTAACTTAACTTATTAGAGCTGAACCGAACTGAAAATAATCATATGAGAACAAACCCTCTGGAATAAGATAATTTTTATCAGGAATAAGACTATTTTAGTCAGAAATAAGATAGTTTTTATCAGGAATAAGACAAAATTATTGATTTTATAAAATGTTGATGCGCGGGCTTTGATCGGGTTTCTCACACCCGCGCCTTTTTGTTGCTGAGCCCGGTCTCACGTGAGTTCGTTCTACGCAAAACATTCTCTTCAAAATTAGGACATGTTCACATTTACTGAACTGAACTTAACTGATTGGAGCTGAACTGAGATTAAATGAATATTTTATGAGAGTAGGAAATTAGGAGCTGAACTGAACTGAACTGATTAGAGCTGAGATGAACTGAAATTAAGCTGAAGTAAATAGGCCTTTAGTTGACAAAACTTTACTATTGCCACTATTTACAATTTCTATTTTGACTACCTTTTGTGATTTATAGATAAAAATAAAAATACAGATTTGATCATGGGTCGGGCCTAAGCAAAAAAAATTGTCTCGGGTCGAGGCTTTGAGCCAGGCCCAAGTTCGCGGTAAGAAATTTGTGCCCAACCCTACTATTTCAAGCCAAAAATGGATGGCTTTTCGGACCATTTTCAGCCCAAACTAAAATTTTAGCTAAATAAAAAAAGAAATTAGGTTACCCAAATCCCAAAAGATTAATTAATTACTGCAATTAAAATCAAGTCACGCTAGCTTAAAGATAAAAATAAATACTCCAGTTTTTAAAGTTAAAACACATCAACTATATGAAACAAATGAGGTATGACAGTATGAGTAATTATGTATTGTGGTTATCAAACTATTAACTTTTCCACATCTAAAACAAATGCAGTAGACGCTTCCTATTAGTCTTTGTTAAAGATAAGCGAACCTTCTTATTGGTCACACGCCCAATAAAATGACAAAAATACCCTTATAGCATCCTTTAAAAGGCAATGCTATGATCATTGCAAATTATATGTCCTTTCTCTGAACTTCCAAACTTACAGAAAAGTACAAAGTAAGAGATCCGAGAAGGAAAGAGAGCTAAATATGTTGGGAGTGTTCAGCAGCTCAGTAGTGTCACCCCCGGAGGAGCTTGTGGCTGCTGGAAGTCGGACGCCTTCGCCAAAGACGAAGGCGACCGAGCTCGTTAGCCGCTTCCTTGCCGGAAACACCGCCGCTATCTCGGCTCAGATTGGGGATTTTGCTCACTTAGCCTTCTCTCATGAAAGAGAATCTCTTCTCCGGCCTAGGTATATATGTTTGCTTTAAAATTTTCATTTTTGGGTTCTTATTCAATATTCATAACTGTACTCTCATTTTTTGAGGGACAAAATCGTAATATTTTGGGATAAAAATGGGTAAAACCGCTAACACCAGTAAAATCGCTGATGGTGGGTTGACAGTTTTACATACTACATACGGTCCAAATTACTCGCAACTTTGGAATATTTTATATCTCACAAATAATAGCTTAAAATTGCGAGTAATTTGGATAAGAGATAGTATAAACATTGCAAAAATACCTTATTTAATTGCAAATTTGCCACTAGACAAACAAGTGATGGTTGATGTTGTTTATCAAGTAAATAAACTTGTATCTCTTTATTAAATTTGCATTAAGCTTAAGATATCTCTTTTTCTTATAGTTTAATTAAAGCTAAAGTAAATTATAAGAGTAGATTATAATTGATCGATCTCAAGTCTTTGATATCAATCATATCACCAATGACTTAACCGGCTAAATTAATTGACATCGGTGATCAAGCACATACTAAAAGTTGGATAGGAAAGTTGTGACTTATGACTTTATAAGTGGGTGTAGATCGCAAAATAAAATGGAAAACTAAATAAAAGGCCATTATTATTATTATTATTATTATTATTATTATTATTATTTTCTATTTAATTTATAATTTTCAACTCTAATTTAGAGTTGATCAACTTTGGCCCGATCCGCTTGGGTAACACGCAAAACTTGATTTTTAATTCGGGCTATTACCCCGGCCTTATGTCCAACCCAGCCCGAGAAGGAGTTAAGTTGGATTTTGGTATTAATAGATTTATGGCCTAAAGATTAAGTTGGTTTGATTCTAAATCCAAAGGGTTACTTATGAAAGTTGCGTAAATAAAGTTTCAAAAAAAAGTTGCGTAAATAACTCATTTCTCCAAGTATTGCCGTAATAAAATGTACTTGTTGTACTTAACTTCATTCCTTCAAAAAAATAAACCTCAAATAATTACTGTATGTTCTTCTTACATACATTGACGGCTTAATGTTACTCGTGTTTATACACTCCACTTTAACCAATTTTGATGATTTGTATACTCTACTTTAACCAATTCATTTCAATTTATACTTTTATAATAATTGTTAGTTTATAATCTTTACATATTGGTAATTAAAGACAATATTGTAATACTCCCTCTAATTTTTTAAGTACCCCATAGTAACATGTATTCAATATTTTGAGCAATAATATCAGACCCGATCATATCAGATCCGATCATTCGAATTGACACCCCCAATATCAATGCAAAACTTTGAGCAATAATATCTTTAATTATCATTAACAATAAATTATAATAATTAAATATTAATAATTTATTTATTGAGATGATTTTAACAAATACCAAAGTATAATTTTGCTTATGTATAATTAACAAACATTAATTAAAGTATGTTTAATAAATAGTGCCAAAATTCAAATAAAATACTTAAAAAAAATGGAGGGAGTAATTAATAGAGTACAATTTTTAAAAGGAAAACTTTATAGGTATGTCATAACTCATACTGACGTGTAACTCAAAAATGGATTGATTGATTTCGTAAACATATGGATTAATTTTTGATAGAAAAGGTTGACGTGGTGATAACACCGTATTCATCGTCGTATCGTATTACTCGTATGTATCACTGACACTGAAGTGACTACTGTCATACGGAGTACATTATTCTTACCATTTGGCTGCTGACAACATTGTTATTTGCGTGATTATTTTTTGTTTTTCCTTTTCTTTTGTTTTTTTTTTCTTCAGTTAACAAAAAAAGTAAACATGAAATAAATCTAATAATATCCATATAGCAAAGAATACATTATTTCTTATAAATTAATTAATTATCAGTTTTAAAAATTTGACTCAAAAAATAAAAGTGCTATGGAAATAAGGGAATAGTGGATTATGTTAATTGTTAAAGTCAATAAATTACTTAAAACTAGGTGCCTCTAAATCTGTATCATATTTAAAAAATGAAGGAAATTTTTTTTGCAAACAAAGGACCTGTTCATATTTACTTATTTTCAGTTCAGTTCAGTTCAATTCAGCTCCAATCAGTTCAGTTCAGTTCAGTTCAGTTCAGCTCCAATCAGTTCAGTTCAGTTCAGTTCAGCTCTTAATTTCCCTCTCTCATAAAATATTCATTTCAGCTTAGTTCAGTTCAGTTCAGTTCAGTTCAGTTAAGCTCCAATCAGTTCAGTTCAGTTCAACTCAGTTCAGTAAATATGAACAGGCCCAAAGAGATGGAGGTATACTACTACTCCGTAGTATATATCATTGTTTAAACATCTATTGTTTTTTTTTTTTTTTTTGACACACTATTGTTTTTTCAATGAACAAATAATACAGAAGATGATGATAATAATAATAATAATAATAATAATAATAATAATAATAATAATAATAATAATAATAATAATAAATTGTTAATGTTAAGCAATGTGTTATTATTATTATTATTTTTTTTAAAAAAGCAATACGTTATTTTAATTAAGAGTATCTTTAATTATATATTAATTAAAAAAAAGTTGAATAATAATGTATTTAGATAACAATTGACGGAGTATTTCTCAGTTAATGTAGGATAAATATAAAAAGGGAAGTGTTAAAAGCTAATACAAAATAGACAAAGTATAAGTTTTTCCACGTTCAATTCTAAAATTCGTGCAGTAGCCGTAGACGTAATAACCTTATCTCTCTTAGATGATAATATGAGATGAAATCATGAAGATAAAAAGAGATCACTCACAAGTCACAACAAAATTCTAGAATCAAACCGCCAACCTCATGGCTAAAAATTTTACTTATCGAGACTTTATTATTATGACATAGTACTACCAATTCCCTTTTTTTAGAATTTATGGAAGTTTGGAAACTTTGGTTATACAAAAGTTGTCTAGCAATTTTTAGGATAAAATCATATGATCCTATAAAATAAAATTGACGCAGATTGACCATTCTAGAAACCTTGTGTGACTTATTTTCAATAATTAATTAACATACATTAATTTTTTTTCATTTTTTTGAAACCCCATGACATATTATTTGCCATAAACCCAAACATGACCCAATTAGAAGAAACTTTTTTTTTATTACACATTTACACTTAGAGGAACTATGAAGCAAAAATTTAATCAGTTAAATATGAGTCAAATTGATTGGATCGTACTTAATCAAGCCTTATTGGAGTGACATGTTTATCTTTGAATTTGAAGAATTAGATAGAATTGCTTATCTAACTTTGAAATGTAGATGAGATTTTAAACATCATTATTAAAATTGAGAACACTTTTTTAAAGTTAGGTAAGATGTTGATACTTGATAGGATGCTTACCTCTTCTACTTATCTATTTCCTTTGTTTCCAGGCAATACACTTTTTTTATTGTATACTTTTCGCACAATTTTCAATTCAATATTTAAGAACAAAAACAATTTCAAATATGTTTTATAAGAAGAAAATTGATACTTCTAAAAGTTGAATATAAGGTGCTAAAAGTTAAAATTAATGGAATATAATATATTTTTCATAATATACATCTACGAAGTATATACTTGTCAACTTGTCATGTCTTTCGTTCTGATCAATTAATCGATACCAGATATGAAAGATTTTTAAAGCTTATTTGCACCATAAGATTAAGAATTCATTACCCACAGGCCACAGCTAACAAATTTATAATATTATATTTATTATTAATATTCTTAAAAAGTTGAATGCATGGACCACAAAATTTCTATATATATTTATTATTTATTATTAATTATTACTAGACAAAAGAGTATACACTTTGATTCTTGGTTCCTTAATACAGAATATGTACTCGTATATGTTCTAAGTACATCCAACTGTTTCTACAATATAAATATATAATCCTGCTTTTACAGAACAATTACGCTCATATTTCATAAAAATGGTTACACTTTGAAAGTTGACACTATTTACGAAATCAAGTTTGACTAATACTTATGATTTATGCTGATGGAAAAATAGTCACGTGAAAAAGTGTTAAATTTGTCTCTATATTTATATTTGAAACATTAGATATCTTCTTATATTTCACTAGTCACAGTCTTACATTGTCAATCATAAACAACTTAAGTGTAACCATTTTAATGTAAAGGGGCAACCTCATCAAATTTCAATATTGCTAACTAGCAAATCTTATATCTTATATGCATAAAATTTCAGGTCATTTGCCGCGAAAGATGAGATATTCTGCTTATTTGAAGGAGCACTTCACAATCTAGGCAGTCTAAACCAACATTATGGACTATCAAAGACAGCCAATGAATCAGTTTTGATCATTGAAGCGTACAAGGCACTTCGTGATCGAGCTCCACACCCTACAAACCATGTTATAGGCCACCTCGATGGAGACTTCTCTTTCATTGTCTTCGACAAGTCTACCTCCACCTTGTTTGTGGCATCGGTGTGTATACTACTTACATCCAAATATATATACTACCTTCGTTAACATTTACTTGCAACTTTAGGGAATTATTTAATTGACATAAAATATTCCAAAGTTGTAAGTAAATGTTAACGGAGGTAGTATATAGCAACCCGATTATTAAGAATTGTAATAGACTTGTGACATCTATCCATCTTTTGTTGCAGGACCAATTCGGTAAAGTTCCTCTATACTGGGGAATCACTTGTGATGGGTATGTCGCCTTCGCTAATGATGCAGACTTGCTTAAAGGTTCTTGTGGCAAGTCACTTGCTTCTTTCCCTCAAGGTAGGTGCTTGAGTATGACTTGTTTAGATTGCGATAGATATCGAACCCACTCTTACTATTAAATTGACTATGGAACCCTGAGAAGTGAGAAAACACTCTTTTGGTACAAAATATTGGATAATATTGGTTGAAAATGGACCAATAATATGGTCATATAAAGACTAATAAACAAAACTAAAGTATAATAAATTAATAATATATCGAGTGAAAAATGAAGTAATCTAGTCTCACGACTAACATGTACTTGCACAGCTACCAGCTACCACCTCAACTAATTTTACTAGACATATCCTTATCGTGACATATATACAAGTTTACGTATTACTTTATACATAATACTACTGTCACACTTGTTTTGCAGGGTGTTTCTTCTCCACTGCCATAGGAGAATTAAGAAGCTACGAGAATCCTAAACACAAGGTTACTGCTGTTCCTGCTACTGATGAAGAGATGTGGGGTGCTACATTCAAGGTAATCAAATGATCACATAAACTTAATTTCCCTTAATTTTAACAAAATATATGTGCGTTCATACTTCATAGTAGTGAGTTAGTGACAAGCATACTAATCAAAGTGTGTTAGGATCAAAGTCTTGTTGACTTACACAAAGCAAACATTCTAATTAATTAAAAGGTAATAAAAAATATGATGAGTTAATATTTAGTTTATCACAGAATTCGTGAATGCACCTAATCTGAAGTACTTTAATAATTTATAATCTTAATTTGAGCGTTAAAAAACTTAAAAATTGACTTGTTAATTAAAATTATTGTTAACATAAAGACTGAATTGGAGAAAATCATATCGCTTAGCCTTATACCGATAATCACAACAGTATATATGTTCGTATTACACAATATTGACCTAGCTTGTCTAAAACTCCTAAAAGACATATTTACTAAATTAAAGATAACTATACAATAATATATTAACAACAACCGACTTTCAAATCAAATTAGTACGTCGTAAAGAGAGATAAAGTAAGTTTACATGACTTAAATGATCCTAAATCTATAATATACTAGGTTAGCTTTGTTCGAAACGAAACAATGTTAAGAAAATCACTGTTTTTTGTAGGGATATTCATTATTTATACATTGATTAACATCGGATCCCTTGATTTAATTTGCACTCGACAAATCACAATAATGTAAATAGTTGATTGTGTATGTCCAAAAGCCACATCTAAGAAGTTATAGCCACAAATATAAGTTTTATACGATTGAGTTAATAAGACACATGATTGGATATTTGGATGATGTTTTCAGGTTGAAGGGCCAGCAGTATTGGCAGCCACAAAATAGGATTGTCACTCCAAAATCGGTGCCTTCACATTCAAATCAATTTGCTATCATCCAACATTTAATTTTTAGTCACTAAATTTGTGGTATAGGGATGCCATGTACAGATAGATGTCTAATAAGAGTCAGGGTCGGGTGGCCGGGTGGGCGGGCCAGCTCAGGCGGGTCGAGTTTTTGTGATACTTAAGTTTATCATTATTGTCTGTGATGTGTGGCTTTATCATTGTAAGATTTTCTGTCTAGGGTAATATTATTCTACTTTTTTTTTTTTTTTTTTTTTTTTTTTTTTTTTTTCACTTTTTATTTTGTGGTAAGGTCTAGGGTAGTACTTGGTAAGATAAGTTGTCAAAAAAAAAACTTGGTAAGATAAACATATTGGTGTCCCATGTAATGCAGTCCTCATAATTTATCACTATGCATAGCTACATTAGCTACTACTACATGTGATTTTAATAAATTTCGCCAAAAAGTTAATGTTATTATTTTCTTCTATTTCTTATTTATTGCGTATTGCATGGTCTTTAAATGAATTAATGAAGAACTTGGTACTGTCATGAATACAGTGGCGTATTCAGGAATTCCGAACTGTGGGTTCAGAATCTTAAAAAACAAACGATGCTCATATATTAATTAAATATTCAATATATAAGTTCAAATTTTTTATTACAAATGGATGAATTAAACAGTTATAAAATAATAAATAAAAAAACCCTACAAAAGCATTCTTCGAGTTTTATACTTTGATAGCGTGCTAAAAATATTACTACTTCTATAAATGATAAATCTGTAATTATATTGCAAAAAATCAATATTACACGAAAATTCGAAAAACAAAAATCCCAAGTCCCCAATAAACACAAATTTGATAATGAAATTTTTTTCTAATTATCAATTAAAAGACCAAGTAAAAATTTTAAATTCTAAGTTTCTGAATTCAATTTGTACGTCAACAATATATCAAAACTAATTAAACAAATCAATAATTAATCGGTTGAAACTAATTTAATACGTACTAAAGGATAAAAACAATAATAATATTAGATAAGTATGAAGCAAGTAAAATAAAGAACTCATAATATTTCTTCATGCTTACTTCACCAAATACAAGAGCCATATATATAGGCTAACAAATAATAAGCTAAAAAACTGAAAGTATAATGTCATGTTTAACCCACTAAATAAACTCATTAACTTCTAAATTCATTTAACTCTCTAACTTAACAAAATGACCAACATACTACTCCTAAAATTATTGACCCAACTATGGACTAACTCATGAAGAACAACGGAAGAAATCGAAAGAGGGGAAAAAAAAACAAAAAAATGAAGGTGGTTGGTCTCGAACCCATCCATGATCAAGAGGAGCCTCACTACTCTATTAATCACTCCCTTACCAATGTGCCAGAGTTACATATTTGTTTATTTACTTCACAAAAATTTGTTTTAACCTTATTTTTTTTTAATCAAAACTTATAATTTTTTTCAAAAAATCTGGGGGTTCAATGAACCCCTTGAACCCCCCTTAGATCCGCCCACTCATGATATACGAATTTAAAGTGGGAGACTTGTAATTAAAGTGAACTACAGAAATTTGTGTTGTTTTTATGAAGACTAAATAGCTCATTATTTCTTCAACGGTGGTGAACTACAAGACTTTTTTAGATCTAAATGACAAAATTGGCCAAGTATTTGAAGGAAAAAATTGATGAAAGAATGTGTGATGATGGAGGGGTTGAAGATACATTGAATAAGCACAATCTAGTTCTTGATATCTAGGATTCTAGGTAATTAGAATTGTGAACTGAAGATTTAGATAAGTGAAAAAGGAGGAGACTTGAGAGATTTCCGAAGGTGTAGGGAGAAAAAAGGGATTCACTTTTAATAATTCAAGCAATTAACAAAGTAACGGACTTTTAAAGAGGAATTAATTGTAGTTGGCTGAATTTAGAATTTGAGTATCAAAATGAACAAAAAAAATAAAAAAATGTTCAAAAGGTGAAAATAAGCTAAATACTAGTCCGAAATTGGTTAGTTTTAATCCTTTTCAAAGGCCAATTCATTTAATGTTGATGAATCAATGATGATCATTCATTATCACTTTATAGTTAATATTAGTTGGTAATAATTATTGATAAGAATTCGTCAAAAAAAAAAAAAATTATTGATAAGAAAAAGGAAATATTTAGGTGTGGACAAGTTTAATGGTGAACATTGTGATGAGGCAAATTGTATCAAGCCCGTCTTTTGGGCGGTCCAAGAGGACATATAGAACGTAAGTCACCCAAAATGTGGCCTCCAAAATTTATTACTCGTACATACTTTCTCCGTTTTTTTTTAGTTGAAACGTTTTTTTTATTCACGTGTGCCAATGCACAACTTTAAATATTCATATCTTTATTTACCGATAACCAAAAATTATGAAAGTTTGATATTTTGAAAATATATATCGTAAAGAATCTAACAAGATTCCACATGACTATATTTTGCATTACGTATAAAGCACAAAACACGATCAACGGCGAGTATGTGAATAGTGCTAAAGTCAAAATGTGTCAACTAAAAAAACGGAGGTAGTATATATTTACCTTTGGCATTAAAATACACAAGAAGATGTAAATTGTAATTACAAGACTTACAGCAATAACTAGACTACTGGATCGTGTTGAATTTTGGACGGAAAGCCATTTGATCGATCCTGCAAGGCTATTTTTGATGGGCCTAATATTTGACTCAATTTCGATTGCTTGGCAATTTCAACTTTTCAAGTACAAATTCATTGGTTAAATACATACACAAAGGGGATGTTTGGTTCATTAAATTGGAATGAAATGGTTTAGAATTTCATACTAGAGAGGTATAAATATTAAAACACGTATTAGTCTAAAGTTATTTGATTTTAATGTTGGAATGGATTACATGCTTCATTAATACAACGGATTGTAAATCTTAGGAAAACAGGTGGTTATGGAATTCCAAAAGGTATGGGGTAGTGTTAAAACCCCTTAGGTCTGAAATTTCATACTTAAATAACTCAATCAAACAAAAAGAGTAGATAGAATGAATTCCAACTCTATTCCAAAAGTTTCAACCAAATGACCCCAAAGTATAAGTAAAATAGAGGACACTAGGAGATCCTCATCACGTTGAAAATTCCTAATGCATTATAAGAGAGACTAGAGATATCCATATTATGAATGGTTCGACTTTTAAATTTAGTTATTATTATGATATCATTTAACACTAATTAACAACATTATCACATGTTCACGACCATGTTGTTAATTATGTTGCTATTTATTCATAATGCTAGTACGCAACAATGTAGTAAATATTATTAATTTTTTAATAAAAATGTTTGGCTATTGTGATTTGTGAAACAGAGAAACCTACTAAGTTACTAACATTGAAGCATAATAAATTTAGTACAGCCCAAGGGTGGGGTATATAAACTACAAGTGGGGAAGGATTGTGATATGATTTGTGAAAATGATGTATAGCAAAAGGAATAATGAAAAGACGAGCAGCTTTGTTAGTTGATCATCTTCCCTTTGGAGCACTGGACACTGGTAAATGGGTGGGGAGGTCCCTGCCATTTATGGAGCATACTTATTAGGTTATTGGGGAAGTTGTGGGCCTTAGCGTGGGTCTTCTTTGATATGTAACAATCCATTTTGCATTTTGCATTAGAGGCCAGCTGTTATTCAAGTTACAAGGGACGAAGCCAGAAAATACAATATCTATAAAACACAATACATACAATACTTTCATTGTCATAAGTAGAGTTATTAAAAGCTAACCTAACCCGAAATATCTACTTGAACTCGATTATTAACCGACCTGTTTGATCCTGGAAAATGATGACTCGAACTCGACATGACCCGACCTGAAACCAACCCTATACTCGAGTTAACCCGATTGTTTGAGACTCAAACCCAAACATGAACCGACCTGAATATAACTCGTAAATTATTGACCTAAACCGAGATTGGTCCAAACCCGTTTTAACCCGTCAAAATCCGAATTTATCCCGACTTGATACTAATTCAACCCGAATTTAACCCAACCTATTATTAAACCGACCTAAATTTAATCCGACCTGTTACTAACCCGACCCAAATTTTACACGGCTTATTATTAACCCGACCCAAATTTCAACCCAATCTAGCTGACCCGAAATCAACACGACTTGTTATTGACCCGACCAAAATTCAACCCGAATTGTTCTTAACCCATTTCAAGCTCAACGTAACCTGTTATTGACATGACTTGATCTCAAATCACCTTAAATTAAATTTACACTAGCTTATTACTATTGATCAAATTATAGTTATATAGTTATGTTGTCACTTATTATGTATATCTTAATCTTATCTAAACTTATTTGAACTAATTAGCTCAAATTTAAACTTTTTAGAAATTACTCCCTCCGTTTTTAAATACTTGCTCCATTTCTATTTTTTGCACTATTCATTTGTTCTACTTTGACTAATGTTTGTGATTTATACATAAGAAAAAATATAATCTTTTGGGTACTTGTTGGAATCATCTCAATGAATAGATATTAATTTTCAATTGTTAGAATTTATACTTATTGATAATTAAAAAATATTAGTGATCAAAGATTAGCATTGGCATGCGTGTCCAAGAGAAATGGAACAAGTATTTAAAAACGGAGGGAGTATTTCTCATACAATAAATGAAGAAATTGATAATGATTAAACGTGAACGTCATCACATGAAACTATTAACAAACCGACCGAAAAAATGTACCCAAACCCGATATGACCCGACCTGAAATCAATCCAAACCTAGTGATATGTCCATTTTATATAGTATTTTACCCCGTCCCTTGGTCATAATTAGTAGTGTTTTTGGCTCTTTAGAGCCACTTTTATTACTAATTGGTGTTTTCTTGTGTTTTCGTAGAAAGGTTGACTTTTGTAGGGATTTGCGCTTTTGGAGCATTTTCCCGGGATTTTATGGAGTATCTACGAGCATTGAGATGCACGACCATCCTTCATAGCCCAGGGCCGGTTAGAGCCATCGAACCGGTGATTAAGGGCTCGGTATATGTGATACCGGGGCATTTGGACCGAGTATTCAAGACGAAGAGGAAATCCGGATTGGCTCGAAGAATTGGAGCCCAATCGAAGTCTAAGGAGTAGCCCAAGAGTGTCGCCCGGCCATTAGAGCTACCGCCCGAAGGCGCGAGAAACGTTCACCTGAAGAAAAAGGCGGGCCCGATCGGGCGGTGCCTCGCCCGATCGGGCTCGTGTCAGCATAAGTAGATTTTTAATCGTCGTTTAAGTTTGTTTAGTTTAGGATTCTTGCTTAATATAAATACTTTTCCGTTAAGCAAGTTTAGTATTTTTTTTTTACTCTTTTCTTAATTTCTTCTCTTAGATTTTCTCTCTCTACTTAGCTTTTAGATTAGTTTCTCTCTCTACAACTTTGTTCTTTACTCAACTCTTAATTCAGATTA